CATCAATGTAGTTGTATCAAGTCGCTGCCGCAAGGAGATATTTCCTTTGTATCGCTTACCAACATTGTATTGTACTTCTTTCCTTTATTTTCCTTTACACATTTGGAAACTTGCATAGTGCACTTTCACCCCCACCTTCCCCAAATTACGAAGCTATCATGTCGATTAGTAGGTATAGGATGTCTATGTGTGTTGATGACTACGTCGTTGTGTAAGGGCTCCTCGTACATAAAATGGGGCACATTCCCAGTAAAAATATCTATTTACACAGAGCTGACAAAATTCGCCTACATGTGTAAATTCATGTTGGGATTTGAAAAAAAACTTGTAAAACATACCGTGACAGGAGTGATCAATTTTGGTGCCGATTGTTGGTGGGCTGATCAGCATGTCGGATTATTTCTGAGAACGTCCTTCCTGTGGGAAATCACAAAATCATTAGCACTAAGTAAGCTGGTTTACCTTATTTTTGTGTCAGAGTACCCTGTACAAATGACACGAATCCACATGCGATGATTACCAAAACAATTTGACAATCGGTGTCTCATTCAAGTTTGTTTACCGCTCCCTCAACACAGTGATTTGTTATGACGGTGGTTTGTTATGAGCGGTATTTTTTCCCAGCCCTTTTCGTTGGAAATTACGAATTCATTGGCTCTAATATATCCTAGTTTACTTTAGTTGTTTCATCCGATTATTCTGTACATTGATTTTACCACAGTCCCGGGACTGTGATTTTACCTAGCAAAGGAAACAATCGGTGTTTGGCTTTGTTATATTTACACTATTGCAACACCTTATGTGGGCCTCCAGCGTGAGCCTCGTGTTTCACTATGTTTTTCATTGAATATTACACCGCACGATATCCCTCAAATCGGAAGGCACATTTATTGCTCGTGTTACTGTTCCTATTAAGTTAAGCCATGGCGCAAAAAAGAAAATATGGTTAAGCTGAATACCATGCTTCATGTGAAATGTATAGACCGTGATGTCGGCATTAACTACTGGATGCACAGTGGAAACCACTGGGGCAACGCCACGCTGACCGGCGTCTCCTGCCTGATAAAAAAAA